AGGGCTGGACATCCCAAAGACATCCCAAAGATCTCTGTGTTTGACTAGTTGTAGAACTCTGTGATAGTTTCCATCTTTTGCAAAAAGAAGCTTCTCTGATGAGTGGTGACTGGTATACTTGTTATAAATATAAGGATCCATATTTAGCATATTATATTTGTCTAGGGATGTGACAGAGGTAGAGATTTTTTCTAGAATCTATGACCTCTTCAGCCATATGTATTTGCCTATGTTGATAATGCCACATGAGTTCTCTCCCATTGAGAGGGTTTTAAGTCCAATTAGATAGCTGGTGATTACCCCCAAGATAAAAGTGCCACTTTACACCAATATAGTTTGCTGTGCCAGCCACTGTTGTGGTTTTTAGGCTTTAAAACTGGGGTTGAGCCATTGATTGATTTTCTCCCTTAGCAGCTTGCATAATGTCCTCCAGAACTATGAGATCTAGTATTCAGGGAAGAGACTTCCATATCAGTTCCAGCTCCATTGCTCCAAGTCCTGTGTCCAAAGTATGTCCTGTCTTTAGCAATTGGTCTTACCTTCAAGTTCTGGGAGGTAATCAAGAGTGTGGTAATAGCCTGTGCTATTTGGGGAGTCTCTTGGACTGTCCTGAGGAACAACTCAAAGGGAGGTTTCTTATGTCTGACAGTTTCTTGTTATATAGCTGTAGTAGTTTGAATGAAAAATGTCCCCCACAGGCTCCAAGTATTTGGACATTTTGTCCCCAGGTGGTGGCGATGTTTTGGGAAGCATTAGAGGTTGTGGTTATTCTGGAGGAAGCACATCACTGGGGGTGGGCTTAGAGAGTTCTTAAGCCTTGCAGGAGGATCTCCAGTTGTGCTCTTGCTTCCTGTGCCTGTGAGATGATGTGAGAGCTTAGCTTCCGCTCCTCCTCCAGCCACTTCTGCCACTATGCCTCCCTGCCAAGACAGACTGTAATTCCCCTGGAACCATAAGCTCAAATTAATTCTTCCTTTCATAAATTGCTTTGGTCAGTGTTTCTATCACAGCAATAGAAAAGTGACTAATACAATAGCCTTCAGGTACACACATGCACTCATGTTCAGATGTTGTATGTGTATTTTTCAGTGGGTATTTGAGCTAACACATTTCCCTCTGTTTTTTCATACTGCCTTATTTCTCTCTTTCTTTCTCTCTCCCTCCCTCTCTCTTTCTCTCCCTCTTCCTCTCCATCCCTCTCTCTCTCCCTCTCTCTCTCCTTAACCCTTAACCCCCCTCTTCCCTCCTCAGCCTGAGGAACTGTTGGCAATTGATAGCTTTTGGGAGAGGAAGAGTCCATATTCTTTAAGGGTATGAGCCTGGGTAGGTTGATCAGGTTGCAGGGAATAAACTCACACCAAAGAGTATTTGGAAAACACAAATGAGAATCCAAAGGCCTTAAAAAAATAATAGAGACTGTGAAGTGAGGGGGGTGATAGGGAGAGGGGTTGGATCAGAGAGGAAGGAGATCTGAATATGATCAAAATGCATTGCATAAAATTCTCAATGAATCAATAAAAATAGTATTAAAAGTATGACATATATTGCCTAAACTGATTTTATTTAAATAACATTCTCCATTCTTAAAAACTGTGGCATGAGCCAGGTGTGGTGGTACATGCATTTAATCCCAGCACTTGGGAGATAGAGGGAGGTGAATCTCTCTGAGAGCTACATAGCAAGTTCCAGGCCAGCTGGGGTTATAGGGAGACCCCGGTCTGAAACAAACAAACAAACTAACAAACACCCGCAAATAAACAAATAAAAAACTGTGACATATTATGTAATTTTTTTTTTTGTTTGTATTTTGACACAGACTGGCCTGGAGCTCAGGATGCAGCCAAGCTGGCCTAAAACCCTTGGCAGAAAGCCTGCGTCAGACTCTCAAGTTCTAAAATTGCAGGTGTGAGCCAGCATGCTCAGCTATAACCTTATAGTTTTATTGTTGACTCATGAAAAACACTTTCCATTGGTTCATTACACAGAAAACTTACTAAGGAAATTTTCATTTTAATTTATTGTGTCAGCGTGGTTCCTAGAGCAGCCATATTTCTTTGTGAATATGTCTTACCTCCTTTTTAAAATAAAATGTGTTGAGAGTTAACATAGCAAATGTGGTTATAGGTGATAACTTTCCTTCTGTCAATCAGGTATTTTAATGTGTTTGAGATTTTTTTTGACTGATTTTAATTTCATGTTTAGACTAGAATATCAAGAAGTTCCAGACAAAATTAAATTTGGGTTTTATAATAATTACCTTTGAAACATAACCTTCAAATGTATTTTGTTATCTTATGAGTGTATTTATTATGGTCTAAAAATCAGTATTTCAGCCTCAAATGGACTGGTTTTGATTTAAATAATTTTGAGAAAAGCCACCATATGCTTCTGATTCAAGATTTCTTTTCTTTCTTGCTGAAACCCTCCAAGTAATCAAAATAATCCTTTTAAGTAATTAAAAGCTAATCAGATATTAGTTGAATTGTTATTAGTTAATTTTCCTCAATGGTGAGTAGACAGGATAGCTCTAATAGTCTTGGGTGACCTGAGGTCACATGAAGTAGGGTCTTCTTTCTCAAGGGAGAATGTTTGAAACTAAAGACACATTAATCCTTTATAATCTTGAGTAGATTAGACTGTTCCCTGCAAGTGCTGAGCTTAGGGATTACAGTTCTCTTCCTTCAACAGTTCAATGAAGATTCATTCAATTAGGAAAGTATTCTTAGTTGTTGTTTGAAGAACATTCTCAGTCACCTTGTGTCAAAGAGAGGCAACCTGAAAGGAGGCAGAGGGTAGTGCTGGCATTGCACATTTGGTACATTTAAGGTGCGTTTTAGCTACTGGATGTACTTTCTCCATAGATCACCCTGCTGATGTAGGAGTGATGTTGGCCAACAGACCGGGGAAGCTTAATTTGAACTATGCTAGTATTTATTGCTGTGTACAAATCACTCCAAAGTTTACAGGTTTACATTAACCAACCCTAATTACACTTAATGGGTCACCAAAACCAAACCAAAACAAACAAAAGACATGGAAGTTGAAAAGGGACCAGTTGGGGAGAAGAAAGGGGTCATCAGGAGTGGAAAGGAGACAGGAGAGGGCAATGGTGGGTGAATACAATCAATATATGTTAGATACATGTATGCAATTGTCAAAAATATAAAATAAAAACAGTAAACATTTATTACCTCATGTTTGTAAATGAGAATTCAGGAGCAGCTCAACTATGGCGTTCTACCTCATGGATTCTCACAAGATGCTAATCAGGGCCAAAGTTTTCTGAAGGTTTAACAAGGCCAGAAGTTACTTGAGACAGTTCCTTTCTAGGTGACTAATATATATGGTAAACTATGAATGTGGCTGACAAGAGAACTCCATTCCTTCCCTCAAGATGGCTTGAGAATTTTCATGATGTTATGGTGGCGCATCCCTTGGCATAAGTAATACAAAAGAAAACAAAACAGGCTTAAAAATGACTTTTATGACCCAAAGTCATGTACCATCGTTTCTTGAACATAGTATTGCTTATGTAGATCAGCTCTGTTCAGAGCCAGAGGGGACCACATGAGTGCACAGATTCTAGGAGGGGAGGACATTGGGGGCCTCCTGAAAGATGATTACCACAGACAACAGTAACCCTTGTTGAGAATTATTAATACAGTTAGCCTTGGGGAAATAAGTTTCTTCGCCTTTATTCAGAACTCTTCCCTTCCCTTTTCTGTGCCTCTCTGTATGATCCCCTGCTTCCAAATTTCAGTATTTCCAAGTTGGCTCTCTAGCCTGCAGGTTGCTGTGTGGTACTCTTTCTGCCTTCCTTGCCCCATGCATTCCACAAATATTTGTTGAGATCAAGTTGTTTATGTCACTGTCTGCTCTCACCAGGACCACCACTACATTATAGACTTTGTCTTTTGTAGCTGCTTTTCTTATTATCCATAATTTCCAGTTCTTTTCTGTTAATATTGTACTGAATTGATGTATATCTAGTAAGATAAAGAAATTCAGGGCAGTTTTCAATGATTGGCACCATTCTCATCAAAAGAACCTTTTATTTTTTTCTTTTCATCTTTTTGAGACAGGGTCTCCTTGTGGCCCCAGGTGGCCTGGGACTCACTGTGTAGACCAGGCTGGCCTTGAACTCACAGAGCTCCTCCTGCCTCTGCCTCCTGAGTGCTGGGACTAAAGGCATATGCCACCACACCTTGCCAAAAGAAAGATTTTTTATTTCAACATAAGTGTTCTGTGATTTAGAAGGTACAGCTTCAAGGCCATAAAGCAAACACTGAGCAAATTAAGAGACACACTCATCAGTGCTGATCTCATTACTTTAAACAAAATGTAATATTGCACAGTTTCCAGTGGGTATTTTAATCAGCATAATTTTTCACAGTGGGCAAATATGATGTAAAATGTATATTTCAAGCCTGAACAGAATGCCCTCACCATGAAAATATTATTTCTGCAACTATTTGAGGAGTCAGATCAATTTGTTGTGCCACTTCTCTTCAAAATGGACAGTGTCCCTCCGAGTTTCTCCAAATATGGTAGAAAGACATGAATCATCTTTTATAAACCTTTGTGTCTCAATTCAGTGCTTAAGAGTCTGACATTTGTTCTCCTGATTAGCTGTAAAATATCTTCCAATGGAGTGGCTTTTTTTCCCTTTGTTTTGTTTTTATGCTTTTTATTTACGTTTTTAAAGCTTTCATCCTAAAACTGTTTGGCCAATAAACCTTTCTTTAATATCATAGTGGTCAACCATGAAGAGGTAAGTGGAAAATAATGATACTCATCCAGTTGATAATCTGAATGATTGATTGGACCTAATCATTTAACAGTTTTATAAAGTCAATATCAGGGAAAGAAACAAGATTCTTATTATGGTAAACTGTATTTGTACTGTCAGCATTTGGTGATTTATTACAAACCTGTGGCTAGGATTAGTATATTATAAATGGGGAAAAAATGGAAGGCTCATTAATTTTTTATACCCACAGGTGGAAGATATGCAGTGGGCTAATAATAGAGAACACACACACCCTGCATCTGTCTGCAGCCTGCCCTGCAAGCCTGGGGAGAGGAAGAAAACCGTGAAAGGGGTCCCTTGCTGCTGGCACTGCGAGCGCTGTGAGGGTTACAACTACCAGGTGGATGAGTCGTCCTGCGAACTTTGCCCTTTGGATCAAAGACCAAACGTCAACCGCACAGGCTGTCAGCGGATCCCCATCATCAAGTTGGAGTGGCATTCTCCCTGGGCCGTCGTACCTGTGTTCATTGCAATATTGGGAATCATCGCCACCACCTTCGTGATTGTGACCTTTGTCCGCTATAATGACACACCTATCGTGAGAGCTTCTGGGCGGGAACTTAGTTATGTGCTCCTGACAGGCATTTTTCTCTGTTACTCGATCACCTTTTTAATGATTGCTGCACCCGATACAATCATTTGCTCCTTCCGGCGGATCTTCCTAGGACTTGGTATGTGTTTCAGCTATGCAGCGCTTTTGACCAAAACAAACCGTATCCACCGAATATTTGAGCAGGGGAAGAAATCTGTCACAGCCCCCAAGTTTATTAGCCCAGCATCCCAGCTGGTGATCACCTTCAGCCTCATCTCTATTCAGCTCCTCGGAGTGTTCGTGTGGTTTGTTGTGGATCCTCCTCACACCATCATTGACTATGGAGAACAGCGGACACTAGATCCTGAGAATGCCAGGGGCGTGCTCAAGTGTGACATTTCTGATCTCTCGCTCATTTGTTCACTTGGATACAGTATCCTCTTAATGGTCACTTGTACTGTTTATGCCATTAAAACAAGAGGTGTTCCAGAAACTTTCAACGAAGCCAAACCTATTGGATTTACCATGTACACCACCTGCATCATTTGGTTAGCTTTCATCCCCATCTTTTTTGGTACAGCCCAATCCGCAGAAAAGGTAAGTGGCAGGAAATGAATTGCATAACCCTTTTCCTGTTAAACTTCTTCCTTTAGAATGACGTGTTTCACTTTTCGTTCATTTATATTCTATCAAGGTTCTTAGTCTGTGTCATGTCTGTGTGAGAGAGAAAGATAATTCAAAGTGAGGATTTAAATATTACACACACACACACACACACATTTCACATTGCTTTTAGTATGTGTTGACTAAAATGACTTTGTCCTCTGGGAAACATTATATTGCTTCCTCTTTGGCAAGGTTAAAGATTGATAGACTTCACATGGCTTCCTATATCTCTTCTCATCCCAGCTTGGCTATCTACTGATGTCCCTCTTATTTCCAAATGTTAACTAAAAGACAGACAGGGAAAGGGCAGATGTGTTCACAGGGGTAAGCTATCCCAGAGAGATTCCACTGCATAACAAATTAAATCTTTTTTCTGTTTTTTTGGGAACTTTGTGAAAAAAGCAATTCCTTGATAACTATGATAATTTTAGACATGGCAACAGAGTTTATAGTAAAGCAACCCAAATGAAGAAATATTGAAATGGTTTATATACACTCTGAATCACCTTACCATATCTCCCCAGATCCTGTTCTTGTATATTTTGCATTACTGAATGATAGTGGTGACAGAAAATGGAGACAGTAGTGGACAATTATAAAAGTTATTTGTGTTTGTAGATAAAGATCAATTGAATTTCCTAAAAGTAATGTCTTGATCACTAATCCCTAATTCACATTTTTGCATGTAAAAAACTGTTTTTAAAGAAAGTCTTCACATGAAACATTATATTTATTGAAGTAGCTTCATGCACTTCTGTGCATAAAGAAACCGAGGACAAAGGTGAACCTTGAATTCCCAGGCTGGAGCTGGGGTGAGATATCCCAGGGGTCAGCACAGAAGCAGATGGTAGGATTTCTATAGTAATAACCCTTCAGCCTTCATGTGTATGAGAAAAAGATCTCTCAAAGTGAGTACAAATATCAGTCCATCTTCCATCATCAGAAATTGCAAAGACACCAACTACCCTATGGGAAATTATATTCCCAAGGCCATAAAATTCCACTTGAAGTTCTGCATGACTTAAAAATCCCAAAGAAGTCAAATAAAGTGTACTTCTAAAGGGGCACTAAGGTTATTAGGATGACCACTCATCCCTTACAGGCTCAATGTGGCCTTTAACACTGTTGGGACAAAATAGAACAAAATAAAATACTTCAGCAAATGCTGATGAATGGAGTCCAGTCATCATGGCTTCATGACTCTTTGGAGTTTCCTGACTGCCTGGCCTGATGAGGGCCATGGATATTTGATTTGAGACAAAGAATAAGGAGAGAAAGTAAAACAGTCAGGGGCTGGAGCCCCAGTTATCAAAGAACCCCATATTTTAGTATACAAAGAAGGAAATTTATTAGGATCAAACTCATAAATCTATCTTGTGAAAGAATGTGTGAGCTGGCAAATAACTGTCTCAAAGTCTGGGTTTTAATTTGATTTATTGGATTAGTCAGGGAAAATAATATTTCTTCAGAGTTTAAAAATGTCCATATATTATAGGACTTATTAGTAACATCAACTTAAGCAATTCCTGTATTCCTGTTGGAACCTTTCTTTGTATACTGCTCTACCTAGAGAGGGCCATGATAAGTAGTTTTCTTTGCTTTCTGGTGGACAATAAATGTACAAATCAAAGTACAGCTCCCAACTTACATCTAACTTGTTATTCTTTCTCTTCTCTTATATTTTAAATAGTGTAACTGTCACTTTTTATATGATGACTTCTGCAGATGGGAAGAGATTAAATGAAATATGAATATGTGTTTTTTTATATTTTGAGAATTCAGTACTTCAAATTTTAAACTCAATAAAATCATAGTCAAATATCAAGATGTGGAATAGCATCATAGTATTTTAAATATGAGCCATTAGTGGGACTTTAAAGTGATCAAAATATTTTCTTCCAGGAAGGAGCTCATGAAGTTTCAGCCGTAACTGAGGAACTGTTATCAGAGGATAGCTGCTGGGGGAGGGAGAATCATTCTTCTTTGAAGATGTGGCCACTGGCAGGCATCTCTGCCCCTGTGGCCCTACACCCATGCATGTATGGGCATCATTAATTAGATCTGTCAAGTTATTCTTTTTAAAAAGAAGAGGGCATGACATTGAGAGAAGAACATGGTGGGGTGATCCAGGGAGAGCTGTAGGGAGAAATGGAGGGTAGATATGATCATATCTCGTTATATACATGTATGGAATTCTTGAAAGAATAAAGTTTCAAAAGTAAAAAAAATTTCTCCCCAAATAATAAGATTACAAGGTTGTTGCTACTTCCTGAAGAGCGGTGACTGAGATAAAGATTTGGGGATGGAATGGACACAGGCACCTGCCAGAGAATTGAGGCTGTGCCTTGGCACTGAACCTACTGCAATTGTGGATCAATTTGAAAACTTGGAAGTTATGTTTACTTGTGGATGTAACCATGCCTTTCAAGATATGAATGACTGTGGCTAGCCAATGTATTCTTTTCTTGCTTAGCTTTGTGTAATAAAAGTATGTCTTAGAAACAAATAAAAATATGCTAACTACAAGTTATTTGGGATTTACAATATAATTCAATGTGGAGAAACTTGAAGAACTCAATAGCAAGCAAAAACTGCTAGGGTTTTCAGACTGTTGTAGTATATGTCTTAATCTCTGAGTTGCTGAATTTAGACCAGCTCTATAGTAAGAGCTATTTGAATAACAAATAGCTTTTTTGCAGCTGCGATACTTTATATAATAGAATCATGTGTTACCCTAAAATTTACCTTAAAATTTACTACCTGCTAGCCTCTCTTAAAGTATCTTCTGTTATTCAAGATGAAAGAGAAACTGCTTGAGAGTATTTATTTTAACAGTGTTAAAGCTATTGATATGAATATTAAAATGAAAAAAAATATTTCTAGCTCTAAAAGAAGTCTTTAAAAAAGTTTATTGACTTTGGAGGAGAAACAGCCTGAACGCTCCCCTGGTTTCATTTACAGTGCTCATCCAATTAGCCCCATGTTCTCAACATGAAGCATTTACAGAAGCTGGGCAACACATCCATCCATTAATTCATCAGATCCTTATTGAGCCTGTGTTCAGCGTTGTGCTAATTATTGAACCCATGTCAGTCTGCCTGTCCAAGTGTCCTTGTAAGGCTCAGTTTGGCTCCCAGCCCAGGCCTTCGTGATGCCGCCAGCACCAGTGAGATGCCAGGCTCAAAGGTAGCGAAGACACTGAGATTCAAGATGAGAAACGAAAGAAGTATGCATTGATAACCATGCACTAGGAACATGGAATTCATAGCATGGAAAACAGCTGTAAGAGCAAAATTTCTTCCAGTGTGTACATGAACACACCTTCTTAGAATAGTGTCTATAGAAGAAAAGCTCTAACTGTGCGGGTCTCTCTAAAATGACATGAAGCGAGAAGCAAAAGCAAAAATAGTTGAATGTACATAGATTCTTTTGGAGGAAACATTTCTGTAAAATCAAATTATAGTTATAAAAAGATAACAATAGCAGAATCATAAAGACTGATAGCTCTCTGACGTGTGTTGTGTCTGCATTCAGTAACAAACATCAGTTAATTTCTCCAGATGCTCTTTAGATTCATAATGACATCATTTGTTTACAGAACTGAATTCTACTAAATCATGGAATAAATTCACTTTTCCTTTTCTTCCAGCAAAACAATATGAAGGAAACATGGAATTACTGAGGCATGGCTATAGGCAAAACCAAACTCACGTAATTGTGCTGAAAAGTCAAAAAAGTATTTAAAATCATTAGCATAATAGTCAGGAAAAGAATGCTCAGTAGTGGATAGAGGCCGATAGGGTGGCAGAAATGTCTTAAACATATTTTATCTTTACTAATTGGGTTCACAAAATACAGATAACCACATAAGGGTTATGATATTTCCAGGCTATAAGGAGCATAGAGGATTGGAAGAAAAATCAACACAATGTCAGAGTGGGAAAAAAATAAAGCTCAAAGATAGACATATCCGCTGCAAAACAAAAACAGAATGAATACGTCTAGAGCCATCGTCCCCTTCCCTAAGGATGCCTGGTGCAGCATCTACCTCAAAACTCAATTCAGCTTCTACTAAATATGCTCCCTTAATTTCTCTTCTTAGTTATAAATACCATCCTGTATAAACTTGTAGACCATAAGACTTGTTTATCTGTTATATGTGAAAGAATATATATTATATTCGTATATAAGATATATATGTATATTAGGATATATATGACATAATATATCAAGACATGGGCCTTTGTATAATAGATTGTCAGCAAGCATCTGTTGAATGAATGAATGTAATGGCTTCTATCCTAATGACATAATATAATGATGCAAATGTCATCCTATTATTTAAAAGATTAGTACATAATATGTGTCTTTTATGTACTTCTTGTGGCCTTTGTTGTATGTTTCCGCCCTGAATTTTTTCCCATTTAAATGATTGGCCACATATAGTCTTCCAAATTAATTTGCCACTAACATTTATTATGATATAGGTTTACTAAATATATAATAGGAAGACAAAACTGCAACTTTAATAGTTGTCCTTCATGCTATATAAAATTCACAAACAAAGCAGAATTCATACAACTCTCTGATTGAATATTCTGCCTCTTCCCTTGATTTCCTTATGTCAATGTGTGTAGACAAAGAAGAGTGCAGGGCTAAGAGGTTCAGGGTCACAGGGAAGTATAGAAGTGTGTAAGCTCTGGAGAATCAGAGCTTGAATGAATTTCTAGATCTGCCAAACTTGCTGAGAAACACAAGCAAGAGGGTATATTTCTATATTGCTCCGAATCCTACAGATTGAACTCTAGAGTCCTGTAAGACAATCATGTTCTGTCTCTGGTCACTCCTATTCTCAAACTAGGGTACACTTAATTGTATATATTCTGGGAAGGGGCAAAAAGATGCTTTACTTTTTATAGAATCTTTTGTCA